TAACCCCTATATATACCCTATTATGCTATAGTAGTTTCCATGTTATTTTCCATTATCCCTATATAACCCCTATATAACCCCAGTGGAGCGAAGGCCCTGATCCCAGAGCTCCTCCTATGCGCGCCATCGAATACCAGGCGGCTTTCGACAGGGGTGGGCCTCTAATGTCGGCCTGAACATGAACTGGCAAAGTGTAGGGTTGAGGGTGTAGGGCTTGGGGTACGTTGGTGTTTCCTGAGGCCCTGAGTTACTACGCAAATTTGACGCCGCTCACGCTCAGCTTTAAGTATAGCATCACAGGAGCAGCAGAGCCTCCCTCTTATAGCAGAAAGCCAGAGCATGCTTTGTGTACTGTATCTGTACAGCATTGACCAAAGCCTTGCATTTCGTCCTTGCACATGACATGGAGTACGCCGCGCGGGAAGGAACCACATATGAGCCTTAGAAGGTCGTCCGGCCGTTTCTTATTCATTAACTCTAAACCTTAAACCCGATCTCATCCGCAGCCACCCCAGTAAGCTTAGCCTCCCCCAGGCAAACCGGGAACCACCACCCAGAGCCCTGGAAAGACAACTATCCTCTTGAAAAGGTGCCTTCATGGGATTCCATGTTAGTTTGGGGGAGGGCAGCATTTGCCATAGAGGGTGAGTATGTAGAGGTGCTTAGGGTTTAGGGTAGGGTTTGTATGGTTTAACGTTTAACCTCATTCCTAACGCTCAAGCTCTGCTACCCTGAAACTCACACGCGAGCCAAATGCAAATGAGCAGCATGACTCGTATGATGGGTTCTCCAGGGGTTATATGGGAGCTATACATGGATTGGGCTATGTAGGGGCTATATAGGCTATAGGGGGATTATCCAGGGGTTATATAGGGGCTATCAGGGGATTGGTCGGGATATTATAACATATATAGAGTGTAGGGTTTTATAAACATTCAAAGCAGCGCTTGCTTTTTCCAGAGGCCTTACAATCAGGCTGATCATACTTTGGAGTACACACAGGGAAGGCGCTTTGTGCGGAAATACCCAAGATGCATTTCTGTGAAACTTTTCAGGATGTCCTTTTCACAAGGTTTGGGTTTGAGGGTTTGGGCATCTTTGCTGGCTGAAAACCTTCTCATTCACTCCTTGAACCTCCGAAGCATGGCACGCCACCCTTCCATCGTGCAATTGCATTCCGCAATTTCTGAACCCATGCGCAGTCTCCGACCTCATGCCATACCGTAAAGACCTGAACGACAGTTAAGATAGTCCCTAATCAATATTCCGGCCGCTTTTTGAGTCTCAACAGGCTGGCGATGAGCTTTGGAGCACTGGGCATCAAGTCGCCAGCAATATGTGGCTTGTTGCGGATGGCCATTGTTGATTGGGGTCTACAGTATTCTGCAAGTTTTTGTGTGCGTCCTGGATGATATCGGGGGCTTCCGTAGGGTTGTAAGAAGGTTGCATACAGCAATGATCTTGGAACATTTAGGGTTCAAGCATCGCCCAGGGCCTTGCAAAACTTTTCGTGAGTCCTGGCAACAAACTGATGTTTAAGAGGATTACACTCCCCCAAACTAACATGGAAACCCATATATAGCCCCCTTTCAGAAGGACTGTAGTCTTTATAGGGCCCTTTTTGGGTTCCCATGTTAGTTACCGGGAGAGTAAGATGGTGACGCCTGGTTTGAGACAAGGCCAAACAGTGGTTCAGCTCCACAGTCAGCATGCTTGCTTTCCAGCCACTGCTGCTTCTCCACTGCTAGGATCACCCACATAATGTAAACCCATGATTAATAAATCCCCTCCCCTTAATAGGGATTATAATAGGGATCCTAGTATTAAGGCCCTTAAAAGGAGGGGGTTTATTAATCACAGGTCTACTTTATCATCATCAACATCATCATCGTCATCAGCAGCAGGCAGTGCCTCTCCGACACAACTAAGACCAGTCTGTCCCCCGAACCCACCCGAAGCCCTTCACAATACGCTCTGTTAACGTTAATCCTTAACCTAAAGCCCATATAGGTGATGCTTGAATTGATAGGTCCCATTTTGTTGTGTCAGAATTCAGATTTGAGGGTTGCTCATAGGCCCCTTATCCGAGAAACCCTCATGAACCACCTAAGCACCATCTTTGGTTTCAGGTTTAGTGCTTAGGACCCTGCAATCCCTATACTCGAGTCCCGAAGTTATAATCCCTCAAACCCTCCCAACCCTATAATTCCCTTTTCTCCCCCATAATTGCTTGGCAACCCCTATGGATCCCTTTGTCCCAAACCCGAGACTCTACACCCTAAACCCTGAACCGCGTTCTTTTGGTAGTTCAGTATGGTCTCCATATTCCCTCATAAGGAACCCAATTCCAAGAATTACCGCGTTTAGTGCTTACCGCAAAGAAAAATTACATCAAAACACATTTTTCATAGAGCAATTATGAAATCTATCCCAGTGACCCTAAACCCTCAATCCTGAACCCTTTCAAATACTTATACCCCTAAACCCCTAAACCCCATAAAGCCCTAAACCCCATAAAGCCCTAAACCCCAATCCCGCTAACACTGAACCCCTAATTGCTATAAACTCTAAACCCTAATCCCTAAATAACCCAAACCCTAAATCCTCCTAACCCTAAATCCCCCTACGTAAATCCCCCTAAAACCAAAACGAGGTTCTTGGCTTCAACGCCTCGCTTTGGAGCCCGGGTCTGTGCCAGCAGCCTCTTGGGCCTCTGCGCTGCCAGGGTCTTAGATCTTCTTACCTTAGGGTTTTAGGTTTTTAGGGTTTAGGGTTTAGGGAAAGTTGATGGGTACCTTTAAGGAGGATATAGAATGATATAGGGGTTCTGTAGGGGATTTACATGTAGGTTGCAGGGTTTAGGGGTCTGAGATTTTCTCGCGACTAGGAAGTAGATGGGTACCTTTAAAGGGGATATAGGGATTCTATTGGGGGGGTATATGTAGGTTGTAGGATTTCTCGCGTCTAGGAAGTAGATGGGTACCTTTAAAGGGATATAGGGGTTCTATAGGGGGGGTATATGTAGGTTGTAGGGTTTAGGGTCTTGGATTTTCTCGCGTCTAGGGAGGTTTCCAGGATTTAGAGTTGAGATTATACATAATAAGTAGTGCCTTTAAAGGGATGACAGGGCTTATATAGACCGCTTAGGATTTAGGGCTTGGGGTTCGCGATTTCAGGGTTTAGGGTAGGAATCATACATGTGGGGTGTCCAAATATGATGGGTATCTCTTGGGGGGTCCCATCCAGTTTGTTATAGTATATTGGTGTCTATATTGAGGTTCCCCCATTTATGCAAACTACTACCACATATGTGTGTGTGTATAATATATATGGGTGGTTGTCAAAATTATGGGTCCTTTTTTGGGTACCCTAAATATTAGGGGCCGTACTATAATAGGGACCCAAAAGGGACCATAATTTTGACAACCACCCATATATATATAGAGAGAGAGAGAGAGAGGGCCTATAGAGCTACTTGGGCTGCAGGAGAGTTGGCCAGACTCCGGCGAGCAGGGCCGATGGGCCATCATGGAGCTGTTGGTCAGCTCCTTGAGTGAGGCAGTGCTGCAGAGAAACGCCCAGCATGTAGCGGCAGTGTACGCAGGGGTCGCGGAGGACGCGCCGCCACCGGCACTTCTTGAGCTCCGCATCCACCTGCGCAAGCGGAGCCTGGAGGAGCCACGAGATGGAGAACAAGGCCAGGCGAGCAACTCACAGATGGCCAGGAAGCAACGGCTGGAAGAGGAGAAGCAGAGCGCAAAGAGGGACAATGGGAAACAAACAAGCGAAAGAGAGCAGCAGGCGTGGGAGAACCAGGAGGAGCAGCATTCCAAAGAACAAAGCGACGCGGCAGTGAAGAACAAGGAGGGGCAAAGGACGACAGAGGGAGACACAGAGGAAACAGGGGCAGACACAGAAGGGGAGGTGGAGCAGTGCAGAAGACAGTATGAGGAGATGCAACAGGAGGAAGAAATCATGAACATCGCCATGTATGAGGCGTATGAAGAACAGATGGCGGTTGAAGCAGAAGAAGCCTGGGAAAGAGACCACCCCAATTACAACGTGGACTACCGCGCGGCCACGGCACTCGATGAGGAAGACAGCGGAGAATCGTGACGGGCAAGGACGCAGCGGCTGGGTGGCAAGCACTGAGCTCGCGAAACGGTGGCTACTGAGACGGGCCTGTCTCCGGGATGCTGCATGACCATGTAGGCAGGTGTACAATGGGCTCCTTCTTTGTTGACATTGTTTCCCCTATCCCGTGCTTTAAGTTACGTATATGTCCGCCTTGCAGCTAGCCTGCCACATTAATTGTAGACCAGTGAGCAATTTTGAACGCTTTAGCGCCAGGGGCGTACCCAGACAAAACCTGGGTGAAGGTGCAAAGCGAGCGGGCAGATAGTACAGCTTGGGGTGCTGTTTCTGGGTGGTACCTAGTTGCTACTGGGGTTTTGCCAGGTACCCTTACACTTGTAGTGTGATCAAAACAGTCATCCACAATTCAGAGCGAGACGGGAGGCAGCCGAGAACCTAGTCGCCACTGGGCAAGAAGAAGACATTAAGAGCCTCGTAAAAAGAAACAAAGTCGTCCCCTCCGGGGCAGGGGCGTAATGTGTTGCTTCGCACTGATCCTTCATGGGAATGGCTGACCCCTGTCTAAAGCTCGAGAAATTCGGCCCGCTCAAAGAGTGTAGTTCTAGGTTGGTTCGCAGAGCAACACCACGTGGTCTGTGACACATGCTGGTTATTTGCTACTTGCTGAGTTGTTGAAGGGTAGTGTATGATCTGGTGTGCTCGGGAGTCCAACTGGTAGAAATCGGGATGTACTCACAACCCTCCGTTGGAGCAGCTTGTCCATGAAATCCTGTGTTACGTAGCCATGTTGTCGCCTGTTTGGTGTTATTGACCAGTTTCCACACTGAGGGCATAGCGGTACGGGGGAGAATGTTGCACCCTGCAGCAAAGGCTCAGTGTTTTGCCAGGAGTGCAAGACTCTGGGGGTAACTGCAAAGAAGCTGGGAAGGACATCCTGTTATGGCCCATGGCAGGTCTAGATTGTGGGTTGCTAGTTTTACTTGGAGTAAAGCCCATGTTGTTGTTTCCTGGCTTGGTGCATACAAGTTTCACAGCTGAGTGTGGGAAAACGCCAGCAATCGGGCAGCGGCCGTGTCGGGTGAGTAAGCGTAGGGATCTTAGCCAGCTGCCAGAATGCGAGCGCAGAGTACCTGCTTGGTGACCGACTCGACCTGCGGACGGCTTGGGCTCGGTGCAGTGCACCGGCCGGTCCGTAGGGACCGGCTCAGCCCGCAGAAGAAGAAGAAGGGCCTATAGAGTTTGGGGTCTAGTGTTTAGGATTGAGATTTGATTGTGAAAGCCAAAGGAGTCCAAGCGCGAGAAGTACCGTGGTAGTTTGGAAGGATAGGTCTAGCAGGTACAGCTTATATATATACATATACACATATATATATATATCCTTAAAGATATATATATATATACATACATATATATATATATATAGATACCCTTAAATTCAATAAACGGGTGGGTACAGCGGGGCTCATATCATGATACGAGTTGCTATATTCATATATGTATGTCTATATACATATATATATATATTTGGCGGTTTGGCGGTTTAGATTTTCATGGTTGCGAGTTCAAGGTTTAGGTGCTTCGCTCAGTAGGCGCAATCTCACTGAGGCGGATGTGCCGTGGACCCTGAATCTTAAACCCTAGATGCTCGGACCCTAGGCCCTGTACCCTAGACCCTTTAAGGAGTAGGGTTCAGGGCTTAACCCTAAATCTTAAACCCTAAAGGTGAAGGGTTTCCGGTCTCCTAAACCCTAAATTCTCAAACCCTAAATCCTAAACCTTAAATCTTAAATGCAAAGCCCACCTGCACTTTTCGTGGTGCAGGCTCCACTGTCCTTGGCCACTTGTGGAGACTCCCGGCTCCCTGGCTCCAGTTGAAGGCTTTAGCGTTTAGGATATGAGCTACGGACTAAATTTAGGTTGGGGGGTACCCATAGGGGACTATATAGAGTTTTGGGGGGAACGTAGTAAGGGATATACTACAAATTTAGTTCAGGGCTCATGTGGGGTTTAGGGTTCAGGGTCTTAGTTCTGGACATGGGTTTACGGGTTAGGATTTTGGATGTGGGGTTTACGGTTTTGGTACGGGGTATCGGATTTAGGGTTTGGGCTTCAGTTTAGGATTTATGGTTTAGGGTTTAGGGTGTTGAGT